TATATATAATATAAAATGTTATATATACATATTATATATAATATTGTATCTGAATATATATTATAAAATATTATATATAAAATATTGTAATATCAGAATATAATATATATATTTATATATATAAATGTATATATATTTTTTTGAGAAGGGGTTTTACTCTTGTATATATATATTAAGTAATTCGCATGTTTAAAGCCTTCCACTGGCTTCCTAAAATATTTAGAAAATAAAGGCCAGAATCACTACCCTGGCTTACAAAGGCCTATACTACCTTTTGTATGTTTTCTTCTTTCTCACTTCAGCCACAGTGGCCTTCCTCCAGTTTCTCAAATCCACAAAGCTCTCAAATCCTGCAAGATTCTTGCAGGACCTTGCACTGGCTGTTGCCTTTGCCTAATGTGCTTGTTTGAAGGCCGGTTCCATTTCATAATTCAAATCTCAGCATGAATGCCATTTTCTCAGAGAGGCCTTCCTTACCTTGGCCCCCAATCTAAAGCAGTCACTTATTCACTCTCACATCACCCTTCTTTTAACTCTCTGCATGGTACCTATTATAACCTGATATTTTTCTTTTTCTTTTTTTGAATCAGTGTCTGAATCTGTCACCTAGGCTAGAGTGCAGTGGCTGGATCATAGCTCACTGGAGCCTTGAACTCTTGGGCCTCGGCTTCAGCCTCCTGAGTAGCTGAAACTAAAGGTGTGAGCCACCATATCAGGCTAATAAAAAAAAAATTACTTTTGTAGATACAGGGTCTTGCTATGTTGCCCAGGCTGGTCTCAAACTCCTGGCCTCAAAGAGTCCTCCCACCTCAGCTTCCCAAAGTGCTGGAATTACAGGTGTGAGCACACCCAGTCCTGATATTTTTCTTTTTTTTTTTTTTTTTTTTTTGAGACGGAGTTTCACTCATGTTACCCAGGCTAGAGTGCAATGGCGCGATCTCGGCTCACGGCAACCTCCACCTCCTGGGTTCAGGCAATTCTCCTGCCTCAGCCTCCTGAGTAGCTGGGATTACAGGCACGCACCACCATGCCCAGCTAATTTTTTGTATTTTTAGTAGAGACGGGGTTTCACCGTGTTGACCAGGATGGTCTCGATCTCTTAACCTCGTCATCCACCCGCCTCGGCCTCCCAAAGTGCTGGGATTACAGGCTTGAGCCACCGCGCCCGGCTGATATTTTTCTTATTATTTATTTTTCTTGAGCTCCAAGAGATCAGGAGATGTGTTCTGTTGTGCTCACTACCATATTCCCTGTACCTAGAACAGCTCCTGACACACAGGAGAAACTTAATACAAACTTGCTGATACTGTAATGAATAAGCGGAAAGCTGAGGATGAAAAGAAGCCAACCATTTAAAGAGCTTGGGGGAAAATCTAGGCAGGGAGGAGGTCCTGAGAGAACCTTGAGGCTTAGCCTGTTCTAGGGCACCAAGAATGCCCTGTGTACTTGGAGGAAAGTAAGGCAGCAGGAGGAAGAAATTGAGAAGAGAGAAATTGGCAGGGGCAAGATGGCTGAAGGCCTTTTTCCCCCATAAGGAGTTTGGATTTTATTTTAAATTAAATGGGAAATCACTAAAGGCTTTCAAGTAGGAGAGTGACCTAATCTGACTTACAACATTCAAAAAATATTTTTCAATTTGAGTGATTAGGAAGATGGAAGTAACTAATATCAGATATAGAAATAACATATGTAAGAGAAGATTTGCAGAGGGAAAATAATTTTGAACATGCTGAATGTAATGTACTTCGGACTGGGCAAGGGGGCTCATGCCTGTAATCTCAGCACTTTGGGAGGCTGAGGCAAGAGGATCCTTTGAACCCAGGAGTTGGAGACCAGCCTGAGCAACCTAGTAAGACCATGTGTCTACTGAAAAAGAAAATTTCCTAGACATGGTGTCAAGCCCCTGTGGTCCCAGCTACTGGGCTACTCGGGGGTAGGAGTGGGGTGAGGTAGAAAAATTACTTGGCCCTGGGAGGTTGAAGCTGCTGTGAGCTGTGATCTCCAGCTTGGGTGACAGAGGGAGATCCTGTCTCTCTCTATATAAAACTTCCTTTGTGGCTTTTGTAGTATCCATACTTTAAAAGAATTCATGATTAAGAAGGAATTAATACCTACCTCTGAAAAAGTACAGCCAGCCAATTCGGTTGCTATTTATAAGAACCTGATACTAAGGTGGTTGTTGATAATAATGATAATAGGTATCAAGTATAGAGCAGTTTCTATGTGTCAGGCCCTATGTCAACCAGTTAACAACCTTACCTCACTGAGGCATCATAGCAACCCTTATTAGAAGAGGCTTTATTATATTTTACAGTTGGGGAAACTAAGGCTAAAGAGGATTAACTCATTCAGGGTCGATCAGACAGTAAGTAGCAGAGTTGGAGTTCAAACCCAGGTCTAGTTTGATGACAAAGCTTTACTCCAGAGAGACTCTGGTCTTGGTATCTGGGTTTTTGTTGTTGTTTGTTGTTGCTGTTGTTGTTGTTATTTGAGACTGAGTCTCACTCTGCCACTCAGGCTGGAGAGCAGTGGCGCGATCTCGGCTCACTGCAACCTCCGCCTCCCAGTTCAAGCGATTCTCCTGCCTCAGCCTCCCGAGTAGCTGGGATTACAGGCACCCGCACCACGCCGGGCTAATTTTTGTATTTTTAGTAGAGATGAGGTTTGCCATATCGGTCAGGCTGGTCTCCAATTCCTGGACTCAGGTGATTCGCCCACCTTAGCCTCCCAAAGTGCTGGGATTACAGGCATGAGCCACTGCGCCAGGCTAATTTTTGTATTTTTAGTAGAGACGGGGTTTCACCATGTTGGCCAGGCTGGTCTCAGACTCCTGGACTCAGGTGATCCGCTCGCCTCCGCCTCCCCAAGTGCTGGGATTACCTGCGTGAGCCACAGCGCGTGGCTGGTATTTTGTGAAGAATCAACTACAAGGTGACACAATTTTGGGGTCACCTTGATATGGAGGAGAGGGGAATGGAAATAAAACTTATTCTTCCTAGTGTCTTTTTTAGAATGTGGGTACTGAAACTGAGTAAAACTGCCACCCAATTTTCCTGGAAACCAGCGATTCTGCAGTTGACAGAAGTTTGCTTTTCCAACAGCTAGAAACGCCAGGGTTGTGGCACAGCCTCAAGAACTGAGGCTGCCTTGTTCAGACTTTCACATGGTCCCTCTGTTCCTTCCACAGAGGACTCTTTTTCTTCTACATCCCGCATCTGCCGCTTTGGACACTCCTTCTCTAGGGCGGCACCAAGCCTTCCAGAAAGGCGGCGCTGGTTTTGTGCTCCATTTTTAAAGGGGTATAGGCCAGTCCCTACCTGAACTCTGGATGACATATATATATATATATATGTATGTATGTATGTGTGTGTGTGTGTATATATATACATATATATATATATGTGTATATATATATATATATTTTTTTTTTTTTTGACGGAATCTCACTCTGTCGTCCAGGCTGGAGTGCAGTGGTGCAATCCCGGCTCGCTGCAACCTCCGCCCCCCGGGTTCAAGCGATTCTCCTGCCTCAGCCTCCCGAGGAGTTGGGATTACAGGCATGCGCCACCACGCCCGGCTAATTTTGTATTTTTAGTGGAGATCGGTTTCTCCATCTCTGAGGTCGGGAGGCTGGTCCGACCATGCCCGCCTCAGTTTCCCAAAGTGCCAGGATTACAGGCCTGAGCCCCCACGCCCGGCCAACTCTGGACGATATTTATTGCTCTACTTTTTAATGTCTGAAGCATAAAGAAGAGGACAGGAAAGAAACTTCCATCTGAGGGTTGAGGACACGTCCTCAACGCTTCATTGATCAGCAGGGGAAGATCAAGCTCCCAAGCCCACCGTCACCTTGACACGCAGACTGGTTACCAGCACTGAGAAGAGGGGGCAGCCCCGCCCCGCCCCGCCCCGCCCCGCCCCGCCCCGCTACGCCGCCCGCCATTGGCCGGTCCGAAAGACGCGGGGCGTGGCCGGTTTGAATGCGAGCGCCTGGAGCCGGGGCGCAGGCGCAGAGGAGGGCGGCGTTGAGGCCGGCGGAGCGGCGGCATCCCCTAGGTGGCGGAGGGAAGCTCGGGGGAAGCGAGGGGCGCCCAGAGCTCTGGCCCACGTGACCTGCCGGGGGCGGGAGCAGGGGGCTGCCTGGGGGAGGGGCGTGACCACCCGCCTGTCGCCCGAGGCGGCCGCCGCTGCAGCCTCGCAGCGCACCAGGAATCCGGCCCGCCGGAGGTGAGCGCTGCCGCGACGCGGGGTCTGAGGCGTTTGAGGGGCTCTCGGAGGGAGGTGGCAGGGAGGGGTGCGAGTGCCGGGCTTCTTTGTCTGGAGGTCTGGGGGCTACGTCCTTTGTTCCGGGAGGAGGTCTGGCAAGGGGCTTGCGGCACCTCTGGGCGCTGCGGGGATGCGGCGTCCATCCAGGGCGTCCGGCTCCAGAAACTAGAAACTCAGCGCGAGGAGTTGCTGCTTTTTTGTTGCAAAGTCTTAAAATGAGAGTAAAGCGCAAGAGCCTCGTTCCCGAGTCTCTTTTTAAGATAAAAAGTATGCTAGAGCCCAGCGACTTCATACGTACTCTGAATGTGAGTAACAAATAGTGAGTTAAAGCCCGAATCCCCGTGGAATTCAATCTGAGGCTGATCGCGATCACTTGGAGTCGGCCGCGTCCCACCTAAACCAGGCAGTTTATAGCAAACACCTGCGTTGACCATGTTTAAATTACTGAATTTTTGGGCACCAACTGGTCAATTTGCCACAGAAATTGGTAGTTGCTACAAAAAGTAAGTAAACATAAAATATTAAGAAAACCCTTTCCTGAAATCTATAGGATACCTTCACATAAAAAGTGAAAAATGTCTGTAATTTCCTTGTTTTAATAGTAACCAACTAGGGCATTTGAACTAGTAGCATTTGAACTCTGTAAAGAAAACGGGTAACGATGGAAATTTTATTTTCCTTAATGCATAATTTAACCGCACCGTAGAATTAAACGAAGAAGGTTCTTGGCTTTCCTTTCTGTTGAGTTTGCACTGGAGCGTTCGTGGGGTGTGTTGGAAGTTAACAGGACCAACCGAGCTGAGCTTTCAGCTGCCAGTTTAGAAGGGCGTACCGAAGATTTCTGGCCTGATAATAGCCGGTGTGATTGCATCTGATAAATGCCACTTTTGCTTGGGTTCTCACTATTCAAGAGCAGCTTTAGTAGATTGTTTAGAAGTGAATAAACAACATTAAAAAGGGAAGATCACTGTTGGTTGACACGATGTGTGTAAGAAGAGTTGGGGGGGGCCTCCAGGATCGGAGCGGTCTCACACCTCCGCTTCTTTACAACTACCATGGAGTCGTTTTCGCAAGCTGTTTCCCAGGCCATTATTTATAATTTAAGTATTGGAGCGGTTACAAAGTAAAAAGTTGTGCGATATTGTTGTAGAGGCATGTCTCCAAAATCCAAAGTCCTCTCTGGCCAGATAAGCAGTTTAATTGTATGTTCTGACGTTATTAAATAAGAAATTCGGTTTTACGAACATATTTTAATATAAATCTGAGACTTGGTACTAGACTAATTACAACAGTGATAAGTTATAGTACGTAGTTTTTTTTTGTTTTTTTGTTTTGTTTTGTTTTGTTTTGAGACGGAGTTTCACTCTTGTTACCCAGGCTGGAGTGCAATGGCGCGATCTCAGCTCACCGCAACCTCCGCCTCCTGGGTTCAGGCAATTCTCCTGCCTCAACCTCCTAAGTAGCTGGGATTACAGGCACATGCCACCATGCCCAGCTAATGTTTTCTATTTTTAGTAGAGACGGGGTTTCACCATGTTGACCAGGATGGTCTCGATCTCTTGACCTCGTGATCCACCCGCCTCGGCCTCCCAAAGTGCTGGGATTACAGGCTTGAGCCACCGCGCCGGGCCAGTGCGTAGTTTTAAAAATGACTTTTTCATAAACATAAAGTATTTCTAACATCTATCTAAAAATGTTTGTAATTAGCTCTCTGGAATTTTAAAATTGAAAACCTGACATCGATTTAGATTATTCTAAATTTATTTTAATAGATGTATTAAATATGTCTATGCTGTAATAACAGTTACTGTTATTACTACAGCACTATGTTGAGTACTTTTGTTGTGTATCAGAGCCAGGTCCTGGGTCAGATGCTTTATAAATCATGTCTGTGATTATCACGACACATGTTAGGTAAGTGTCAGTATGCCCACACCAACTGAGAGTTTAACTAGCGTAAGATCATATAACTAGTAAGTCACTGTGCTGAGATTCAAATCATGGCCTGATCCCAAAGCACATGCTGTATTGCTTCTGTGTGTCCATTTAAATCTCTGCTGTGTCTCTGGATTCCATCTGCAGGGACAAGTTCTACTTTAAAGATGTCTGTAGGTGCTGTGTTTTGTTGTAGCTTGGCAGAAATATTTCAGTCTTTCTGCTGGAACTATCTTGCTTCATTATCTTATAAATCATCTTACCAGTCACATATTTTCAATATCCTTTTAATCATTTTTATACAAAACATTTGTAAGTGAAGAGTAAGACTTTTCTGAGTTTTTTACATAAATATGAATACAATCTTTACCGTGGAGAAGAAATGTATTACTGTCCGGTTTTCTCACTATTACAGGGTTCTTTCGCCTCGCCATAATTTCTATCTTCTTCCCAGGCAAGAAATAAAAGTTTCTTGGGCATCTCTTATGTGCAAAGCAATGTCTGGTGTTGTGAGATGACAAAAGAATGCTTCCTATTCAGTAGTTGTTTCCCCACCCCTCTCCCCATTCCTGCCTTATATGTTGCTGCCAGTTTATCTTCCTAGCAGGGATCCAATTTGACTATTCCTTTGTGGGTAAAAAATCCTGCAGGGTTCACCACTGTGCAGATAAAAGGCTGAATATGTGCTTCTGCCACATATTCAGAGTCCCTCACAATTTGTTACTGCTCTGCCCCTCAGACTTCTTTAATACCATGCTGAACCCAATGTGCTTATCCTGAACACATTCTGTGCATTTCTACCTCTCCCTTTTTCTTGAGCCATTCTTTCCCTTGACTTTCTGCCTTTCCTTCATTTGCCCAGTAAGATCTACCATCCTTTAGTATGCAGTACAAACTTCCTTGCTTCCAAAAAGCTTTCCCTGGTCCCTTTTAGTTAGAATTGTTCTTCCCATTTTATCTCAAAACATTGTTGAATAGAAACATTTATTTTTCCACAGAATGGTAACAACTTTTGGGAAGAGTAGACAAAATCATGTTTAATATGTTTTCCTATGGAGAATTCTAAACTCAAACTCTCTAGGGACCCTCTCTAAGCATTTATAATCTTTCTGCATATGGGATTTATTTCTGCTTAAAAATGTGTTTGGGCCTTCCTTTTACCTCGTTGCCTTTCTGAGAGCAAGATGGGTCACCAGCAGCTGTACTGGAGCCACCCGCGAAAATACGGCCAGGGTTCTCGCTCTTGTCGAGTCTGTTCAAACCGGCACGGTTTGATCCGGAAATATGGTCTCAATATGTGCCGCCAGTGTTTCCGTCAGTACGCGAAGGATATAGGTTTCATTAAGTTGGACTAAATGATCTTCAAAGGATTATCCAAGACACCTACCATGAAAAACCATGATAGTTCTTTGTACATAAAATAAACATTAAAAAAAAAAAATGTGTTTGGGCCAGGTACAGTGGCTCACACCTTTAATTTCAGCACTTTGAGGGGTCCAGGGGGACAGATCACTTGAGGCCAGGAGTCAAGACTAGCCTGGGCAACATGGCAAAAACCATGTTGAATAGAAAATAGAAAAAAATAGAAAATGGAAAAAATTTGTTAGGCATGGTGCTGGGCACCTGTAATCCCAGCTACTTGGGAGGCTGAGGCAGGAGAATCACTTTAACCTAGGAAGTGGAGGTTGCAGCGAGCCAAGATGGCACCACTGCACTCCAGCCTGGCAACAGAGTGAGACTCCATCTCAAAAAAAAAAAAAAAAAAAAAGTGTCTGAAGCCAATTTTGCCTTTTTAAAGTCCTGTTAAGAAAAGTGATTTGTTGTCATTTACTAACTCAAGAACAATGCTTAGTGGAAAGGACCATTTCTTTTCTATTTCACTAATGAGCTTTAAAATTATCATGTGTATGTATTCATTGATTGAAGCTGATGACTGACCATCATTGGTAGTAATAAATGGCTACGCTTACCAAAAAGGTTTATACAGTATGTAGTTCAGATGATCTAACCTGGAGGCAAGAAAAGTAAGTTATATTTATTGTCTGATGAGTGTTACCAGTTTATATAGATCCATGGATGGAAGAAACAGACCAAAAAAAACAAAAAAAACAAAAAAAAACAAAAGTTTTTGGCATTTAAGTGGCAGTCAGGATCAGATAGTTTAGATAAATTCAAGGAAGCACAAAATGTAACTTGGTTTGCAAACTTTTTACTGCCAGTGGAGTAAAGGAGGGCTAGGACTTCTTTGATAAAGAGTTAGCCTTTTTTGTCTCCTCTGATTGCATACCTTGGACAGTGCCTGGAAGTACACTTAATTGTCTAAAGAGAGTCTATTCTGACTTTCTAATCAGTTAATTCAATGTGAGGCAGTGAGAGCTATGTACTAGTTGATCTTTCTTTATGTTTCTGTCAATTTCTGGGATATGGCAAAAAAATGATTGCTTTTTCTTTATGGTTAGTTGCTGTGATATAGCAATTTTGTTAATCGTGAGGTTTTTGGAGCATTGCTTGGAAGATGCTATTAAGAGACAGATTTGTTCCTTGCAGATTGTTAGTTGTGAATTATAATGGAGGTTAGAGGTTGAACTTGATGACTTCTCAATTTCCTTTCAAACTTATAATTTATTTTTCAATTCTTGATCCTGTGATTAAATTTTCTTATCCTAATGAACAAATTTGTAATTTAACATTTGTTGCAGATTTTACTAGTCTTACACTGTATACACACACATTGTATCTGGGAAGTAGGTTTGTTAACTCCATGTAATGAGGAACATGAGTGAACACATTGTTGCTAAATTGACTAGAGAGTTCTTGAAACATGAATCATGAATCAAGAATTGCTTGTTTGTTCAGTGAATAATTTTTTTGTGAAATGCTACCTAATTGTTATGGAGACTGTAATGTAAGAGGCACTTTTTTGGATATTCTTCCTTTGAGAATAGTAATACCATATTATAAATTGCCCTTATTAAAATAGTAAATAGCATTCTTTCTGTCTTCTTGGTTATTTTAATGGTCTTAGAAATGGCTCTCTGCAGTTTTCATCAAGTATTTTGAAACTTCATTGATTTATATTTACTTATTAATTTGTTAAACATGTAAATGCTACATGTTTATATCTTAATGAGTATGAAATTAACATTTTATATTGTTGTGATATTTAGAATTTTATTAAGAACTCATGGATGAGAAAATTATTTTATTTTTTTAGAGACAGGATCTCACTCTTTGGCCCAGACTGGAGTGCAGTAGTGCAATCATAGGTTACTGTAACCTCCAACTCCTAGGCTCAAGCAATCCTCCTGCTTCAGCCTCCCAAGTAGCTGGGACTACAGGCACAGGCCACCACACCTGGCTGATTTTTTAATTTTTTGTAGAAAGAGGGTCTTGTTATGTTGCCTGGGCTAGTCTTGAACTGCTGGTCTCAAATAATCCTCCCAAAGCACTGGGATTACCAACGTGAGCTGCCGGGCCTGGCTGAGATAAATATTTAACTTTAATATCAGTATCTGTGGGGAATTGGTTCCAGGACCCCCTGAGGATACCAAAATCCATGGATACTCAAGTTCCTTATATAAGACATTATAATATTTGCATGTAACCTATACACATCTTCCCACAAACTTTAAATCCTCTCTAGATTACCTATGATACCTATTACAGTGTAAATGCTATGTAAATATGATATTATTTAGGGAATAATGTCAAGAAAAAAAGTCTGTACATGTTCAGTAGAGACACAACTATTCATTTTCTTTCCTGAATATTTTTGGTACGCGGTTGGTTGAATCTACTATTCAGAACCCACAGATCTGGAGGGCCTACTATAACTTAATTCTAAGGTAAATTAATTGTAATACCCCTCTTCTCCATTTTATAAATAACAGCCCAAACCTTATAGAGGATAACGAGAGATAACTTCATTGCCAGTTTAGCTATTTGTGTAATCTAGACGCACTTTGGAGCTATTGCTGTGAGTATCCACACTAATTCCCTTTATTTATTTATTAAGGAAAAAAGAGGCACAATAAAATTCTGAACAAAAGGAAAAGAGATTTGATGTGTTGATATGTTGATAGCTGCTACCTGTCTTTTTGTCATTTCTTAAAATACCTCTTCCTGGCCAATTCTGTAGCATGCAGCTGTCATCCCAGCTACTTGAGAGGTTGAAGCAAGAGGATCACATGAGGCCAGGAGTTCCAGGCTGCAGTGTGCTGTAAATCATATGTGAATAGCCACCGTATTCCAGCCTGGGCAACATAGCAAGATCCCATCTCTTAAAAACAAAATAACAACAAAAGATAGCACTTCCTTTGTTGGCAAAGGGAAGGGATAAGAGGAATAATATTTTGTGTTTCTTGCATGCTAAACTTGTTGTTAATATGAAAACCTCATTTCCTCTAGGAAACTTCGTCAGTATTCCCAAGGCTGTTTCTTTCTACCTTCTTTCCTCTCTCCTTACTGCTCTGTTCCATATTAACCTCTTGCTGTACTTAATTAGCAGAGCAGTGAGTATTCATTAGAGTCTGGTTTATGTTATAGCTGAAATACTTAAAAGGATGTTATATAGAAGAGGAATTAGGCTTTATTGTATATGGCAGCAGAGGAAAAAGTAGAACAAATGGGTAAAAATGGAAGGACTGCTCAAAGTATGGAACAATTTTCTTATAGGAAAATTAGGATTAGCTGCTTTATGACCTATCTAGGAATGCTATAGTAAGATAGGGGACTAGCTGACCTCTAGGGTTGTTCATAACCCTGAGATTCCAGGACTTTATGATTGTATATCTACTAATTTATCTCATATATATATATATTTCCTTTGTCTTTTTCAACTGTTATCTCAGAGATTATAGTTTATATCTTATGTGCTGTGGCTCTAATATATTGGTATATATTCATTTTTATTTAAAAGTTCTCGGTCCTGATCACTGAAGATTTTGCCTTTATTCTATTTTTCTTTCTCATCCTCCTATTAGATATATTTTAGAGCTGCTCATTTTGTCCTCCTTTTCTCTGAACTTCTCTTTAGTATTTTTTTTGTCTATCATTCTCTCTTTAGCTGCTTAACTAGCACATTGAGGGTTTTTTGTTGTTGTTGTTTCGCAGGGGTAGACAGAGTCTCGCTGTATCACCCAGGCCGGAGTGCAATGGCATGATCTTGGCTCACTGCAACTTCCACCTCCCAGCTTCAAGTGATTCTCCTGCCTCAGCTTCCCAAGTAGCTGGGATTGCAGGCATGCGTCACCACGCCTGGCTAATTTTTGTATTTTTAATAGAGACAGGGTTTTACCATTTTGTCTAGGCTAGTCTTGAGCTCCTGGTCTCACGTGATCACCTGCCTGAGCTTCCCAAAGTGCTGGGATTACAGGCATGAGCCATTGCTGACCTTAACTAGGTACATTGAGTTATGAATGTCAGTGTTCATGGTAGTTTTTTGTTGTGTTTTGTGGCAGGGCCATACTCTGTCACCCAGGCTGGAGTACAGTGCCGTGAACATTAATACTTCTAATAATAGCAAAAAACTACAATCCAAATGTCCATCAACAGCAGAATGAAAAATATATTTGGTATACAATGGAACATGATACATGCAAGCTGTAGCTGTGTACAATAATTTAGAAGAATTTCAAATATAATGTTCAGAAAAATCATACAAAACTACATGGTATCTTATTTAGGACTATACAGGCATTTGTGGTAAAGTTGTAAAGACAAGCAAAGGAATAAGGAACAAATTTTAGTTTAGAAATCATCTTAGAGGAAAAAGGAAGGAGATGGGTTAGGTTGGGCTATCCAGGAGATTTTAAATGCAGTGGTAGTGTTCTTTATTTTAAACTGAATGATGTTATATAAATACTTGTTGTGTCATTCTTTTTACTATATATAAATTTCCTAAATTTCTTTTGTACCTACCCAATATTAATCAAAAACATTTTAAAGACCTTAAAGAGTTTAAGTAGAATATATTTTGAGAGCAACTGAATCCAACTATGACCTAATTATCAGTGTGATATCTTCTTTGAAGAAATAAATTTAGTGAGTTTGGAGTTGACTATTTCAAATAATTATTGAATTTTCATTAGATTTGTTAATAGTAGTTTTTAAAAATTTAAAGCCGCAATTTTTAAAAAATATACTGTTCATTTATAGCAGAAAATATTACATACAATTATTGAATTTCAAACCTATTTTAAAAATTAAACTATACAGTTCTCCACCCCTATTTAGAAACTCCATGATGACAGTTAAGCCCTGTGCTTGCTTCTGTAGTGATTGACATGACAGCAGTCTGTGGAGTTAGCTTGTGATTATGTACAGGTCAGGATTACTGTAGGTTATTCTTTGAAAATAGGACTTCATGCAAAGCATCTTGTATTCCTTTTGCAGAAATGTTGCTGAAATGCTGCTGAAAGGGCCAGAGATGCAAGAATTTGGGACACATTTTGAACCTTTAAAGCTGTCTGACATTGACCGCCTTTCATTATTAATAAAGAAGAAACAGGAACTTAGGATGTATTAACACCAACTCATTAATATACTAACCGGACAGTGTTCTGCAAACAATTCTGCATTGTAAATGACTGGATTGGCACAAAATAAAATTATTTCATTCAGCTTATAATATGCCTCAATGGAGGAAAATTTGATAAGCATGAGGGAAGACCATTCTTTTCATGTTCGTTACAGGTAAGACTATTGCTGTCTTAGTGGATGACTTTTAATCCTTATTTTAAAATGTTTTTATCACTCACCATTTCAAGTTTCAGTTGAAAATACTCAAAATATACCAGCCATATATTGTCTGTAGACAATGTTTTCTTTTTGTTCTAAGTTCTTGTGTCCTTTCTATAGGAAAATGGTAGTAGAGACCAATTATATACTATGGTTTGTTTAATGTTCTTGGGAACAGTTTATGAATAATTTCTTTATAATTTGTAACTTTTTATAAAATGCAAATATGTGAATGAAATGTGTTTGAAAATCTTTAGGGCTAAAAGATGGATTTTTTTTTTAAATGTGGTTTGCTGAAGAACCTAATCTTTACATTATAATTTAATGGTGATCTTTTAGAAATGAGCTTTTTATATTTATTTTATTTTTTTTCTAGGGTATTGTTTTGATTCCCTTCTCATTTCCTTTTCTGTATATTTGTAATTTAATTTATTTTACTTTTTGACTTCTGTATTATTAGAAATGGGAGTTTCACTATATTGCCCAGGCAGGTCTCAAACTCCTGGGTGCAAGCAATCCTGCCTCAGCCTCCAAAGTAGTAGGAACTACAGGTGTGTGCCACTGCATCTGGCTTCTTATTTTATCTTTAAAGGAAATTTTATTTCACAATCATTTTCTATTTTAAATATTTACCTAATCTATATTAATATACATTATTAGAATAAAACAAGCATTGCTCAAAAGAAATGTTATTTTTAAGTGTAATGTCTAGTGATGTTTTGTGGTGTTTTGCTGATTTAATACATAAGACCACATTGTTACATGAAGTAGTGGTTTGGTAATCCCTAGTTTACTCCAGAAAGCAAGTCAGGCTAAGGAAAGGCACCCACATTCTCTCACAAGCATCATGGGCCCGAGGGAAATGGCCTAGCTCCTGTAGGACTTACAGCATTCCCTTGGATGCCCAGATGGACTGTCTGCATTCCAGGTGGAAGGTTGCAGATTGTAGGGACCAGCGTTACCAGCTTTGTTCTGCATCTACAAGTATCTTTCACAAGTACAACACACTCCCTTTGGCTACATCTTATATATAAATGTTATGCACATGTATGTGTGTCAGGAGGGTGATGGTGCTCCCCACTGATCTAGATCAGGATCCAAATCAGACATATACATCAGGAAAGGAGTGAAACTGGCCAGATAGCAACCAGCCAGCTCAAGGCAATTGCTGCTGGGCAGAAAAGGTACAGAGTCGGCAGGTCTTCCTGATTTTTCAGGAGAGCACAGGAAATCTGAATATCTGAATTTTTTTGAGACAGTCTTGCTCTGACGCCCAGGCTGGAGTGTAATGGCACAATCTTGGCTCACTGCAACCTCCGCCTCCCAGGTTCAAGCAATTCTCTTGTCTTAGCTTCCCGAGTAGCTGGGATTACAGGTGTGTGCCACCATGTCCAGCTAAATTTTTGTATTTTTAGTAAATACAGGCTTTTGCCATGTTGCCCAGGCTGGTCTTGAACTCCTGGCCGCAAGTGATCTGCCTGCCCCGGCTGCCCAAAGTGCTGAGATTACAGTCATGAGCCACCGTGCCCGGCAGGAAATCTAAATCTTTAATATCCTGTCGCCAAATCTGAAATGTTGGCAGCTAATGCAAATTTTTTAAAATGTGGGTTGAACATTTTAAGGTGGTGGGGGAAGGCCTGTAACAGACCCAACTCTAAAAAACCACACAGGCAAGGTCAAGGAGGTAGAGCCCGAGGTTTTGAGAAAGCTTTTCTCCAGAACATAACATACACTTTCCCTGGGACTCCGAGGCTCTAACCCTCCTGCACCTCAAGGCCCAGAGCACCAAGTGTGAAGTCCTCATCTCCTGGTCTTGCCCGCCTCATTACCCTCCATGTCTCCTCATCGCACCCTCCATTCCCCAAGCCCCATTGGTTCCTCTGCCTCCCAGACTTTGCCCATTATTCCTTGGATGGCCTAGAATCCATTACCTGCCTTCCTCCTGGGCAGTGCCTGCAAGCCAGGCTCCCATTCTCGTTCCTCACTCCTGGACGGTTGCATACAGACCTTCCTATTGCATCCTTCTAGATGGGTTGCTTAGGTGTGTCAGCCACAGACACCAGGCACCCAGTGTCAGTCCATGAGAGCATGTAGCCCTCCCCCATCCATGTGTGGAGCTCAGCCTTCATAAATGAGCATTTGGAAGGAATGGGTATTAAAGTCAGAATAGGTGGGTGCTTCATAAACATGATAACCAGTAGCCAGTTTAATATTTAGTGATAAAATATTAATGACATTTCTGATGCAATTAGGAACAAAACAAGGCTATCTGTACTATGATTGTTATTTAACATTTATTCTGGAAGTTCTGGCAATTTCACTAAACGATAAATGCAAACCTAAACATAATCATTTAGTAAGGTGATTAGGTAATAGGGTTTTTTTGGTTTTTGGTTTTTGTTTTGGAATAGAGTCTCTGTCACACAGGCTGGCGTGAGTGCAGTGCTACAATTTTGGCTCACTGCAACCTCTGCCTTCCTGGTTCAAGCAATTCTCCTGCCTCAGCCTGGGACTGAGTAGCTGGGACTACAGGCTTGTGCCACCATGCATGGCTAATTTTTTGTATTTTTAGGAGAGACGGGGTTTTGCCATGTTGGCCCAGCTGGTCTCAAACGCCTGACCTCAGGTGATCCACCTGCCTTAGACTCCCAAAGTGCTGGGATTACAGGCGTGAGCCACCGTGCCTGTCCTTTTTTCCCCTCCTTGAGGCAGAGTCTTGTTCTGTTGTCCAAACTGGAGTGCAGTGGCATGATCACAGCTTACTGCGGCCCCAACCTCTCAGGCTCAAGCAATCCTGCCACCTCAGCTTCCTGAGTAGCTGGGACTACAGGCATGCCGGCTACTCTTTTTGTAGATATGAGATCTCACCATGTTGCCTGGGCTGGTCCTGAACTCCTGGGCTCAAACAATCCACCTGCCTTGTCTCCTAAAGTGCTGGGATTGCAGGAATGAGCTGTCGTGCTCAGCTGGTAATAGATTCTTTATCAAAATTGTTACAAGTTAATTATTAGATAAACATCAGAATATCATAGCAATGAATAGAATTCAAAATTTCAGAACAAGGGTGTTTTCCTTTTTTTTTTTTTTTTTTTTTTGAGATGGAGTTTCACTCCTGTTACCCAGGCTGGAGTGCAATGGCGTGATCTCGGCTCACCACAACCTCCTGGGTTCAAGCGATTCTCCTGCCTCAGCCTCCTAGAACAAGGGTGTTTTCTACCAAATTTTAGATGTCTTAACATATTTAGGAAATAAAAGATTTATTATCCTGTAGAGCAAATGGTTCATGTTAGGAAGGATCATGCCAAGGAAGTTAATGTAGGTAAGATGAGGACATGTCTATTAAAAATAAAAGTTTCAAGTAAAATAAAACAGAAGACATATAAGATGATTAAGATGAACTTTTAATATATAAAAGCTCTCATCCTACCCTTTACTTAAATTTCCAGAAACCTAGGAGTTACATACTTTTTTCCTTTCTCTCCGTATTCAGCATGAAGTATTGCCAGTTTCATCTCCTGAATGTTTCTCAGATTCATCTACTCGTGTGCGTCCTCCCCACCATAGCTTTAATTGGGATCCCCAGGATCTTCCTTCCAAACTCCCTCCATTCTTCACCTCTTGGAACCCATCATTTTGATTTGCCACTTGTGGGCTCAGTCTCAAAACACTGAGCTAACTGTGCAACCTCTGTTTAATACCTGGGGTGGCTCCTAGTCACTGAGCCAAGCTGAACATAGAACAGAAGATCTTCCATTATCTAGCTTCTGCCTACTCCTTGGACCTTACTTCCTGCCATTCTTTACCTTGCACTTTGAGCTCTGGTTTCCTGCATGTCATGCTATTTCATCTCAGTGTCTTTGCTCATGCTGTTCCCTGTGTTGAATTCCCTTCCCACTTTCTTTGTTTAGCTAATTCTACTGAATACCTAAGATATCACTCAGAGATTATGTCCTCCCAGAAACCATTTCCGAGCTCCATGGTTAGGCTCTGTGCCCTCCCTGTGCTCATATTACAATCTGTGCATTTTCCTTTCTTAGCACCAACTATATTAAAATTAAATGAATCTGTTTTTATGGTGCTCTCTTCCTCCTCACCTCTCCCTTTGACCATTAGCTCCTCAGCTGTGGTCGCTCCTCAGCAACCATGATAATTAGCATGTTGTCTGGCACATATTGAACTTCAATGGAATATGAATGTAATAAGATGTTTATCTTTCTTGCTGAGCATTTTGAAGATTAGTGTGCTTTCTAATATTGGAAGAACAGTAGGTAAGGAGGTATGGCTTGTACCTCTGCCTGTTGGAAGATCTTAGAATTGTCTTTTTTCCATGATACAGTTAGGTCAAACATGGCTGCACATTGCTATAGGACTTCACCAAGGGAAACTTAAAAATCTGTACTGTCTGTAATGGGTCTATACCAAACAAATCCCTGGCTTTATCAGTGCTCTAAGATCAGCATTCTGTATGTTGATTGGATTGTCGTATAATTGGGGGTAATAATTTGAACCCTTTATGTTAGCCCATAGCCTAGTATAAGTTACTCTTCTACTCTAGTAAATACTTGTGAAATGTTTTATCCACTTGCTGCTTCCATTGTGGATGTCCTCATCTATCCCTGGAGGAGTTTCTGTGGCACAGTGAATTTTTAATTTTGAAATGCAGTGTTTTTTGAGATACTAAGTAACCTCCTAAGGGACATCAGAATGCTTTATGAAATATTTTTCACCTATTTCAGAAGGTGGAGATTGATATTAAAATACAGTTTATTTCTAAGTTTTAAAAAATTACATGGTTGATTTTTAAGGAATTATTAATTTTTTCTGTATGATAATGGTATTGTGATTATATTCTTTGAAAAACAATCTTTTAAAAATACATACTAAGGTATTTACAAATGAAATCATATGCTTTCTGGAATGTACTTCAGACTAATCTGGGGTTGGAAGAGTAAGGA